GAACTGACATAGATAGATAGATAGATAGATAGATAGATAGATAGATATTAACTGACATAGATAGATAGATAGATAGATAGATAGATAGATATGAACTGACATAGATAGATAGATAGATAGATAGATAGATAGATAGATAGATAGATATAAAATGACATAGATAGATAGATAGATATGAACTGACATAGATAGATAGATAGATAAATAGATAGAAACTGACATAGATAGATAGATAGATAGATAGATAGATAGATAGATAGATAGATATAAACTGACATAGATAGATAGATAGATAGATAGATAGATAGATAGATAGATAGATAGATAAAAAAGAGAAATGAAACAGATAGATAGAAATGAACAAACTGAAATAGGTACATATAGGAATATATATATATATATATATATATATATATATATAAATTTTTAGATTTACTTTACGTATCGCACAAGGCAGAATGTATGGAGCGCCCAGTGAGGATTGAAATCACTACTCGGTCGTAATTGTTCTGGCTGGACAAGCTTATTAACATTTATAACAATTCGGAGATCACAAATGATTTTCAAAGCGTAGCTAACATATGGCATAAGGCCAAAATTGTGCAACACCCAGTGAGAATCCAACTCACTACTCAGTTGTAATCGAGACAAGCTTGTTAACCGCTACACCAAGAAGCTCTCAAGACAAAAAGATATACAGTGAATAGTCTAAGATAGATAGATAGATAGTAAAAATTATATTATGTCTAAGTGAGCAGATAAGATTTTTTTACAAACTTACATACAAACCGAATTACGTACAGTTTTAATGCACGTGGTACATAACTGACCAATGAGAATCGACCCGAAAAACCTGAAAATACCAATGTTCTGTTTTTCGTCTGATTTTTTTCAATCTCTGACGAATTTCGAATAAAACGAGTGAAACATGTTAGATTGATAAACGTTTCTTATTTGTTCTTTATCATCTCATCCTGTCGAATTCTGATCCATATTTCATTTTGATCTTTAACTCATATATATATATATATATATATATATATATATATATATATATAATCATTTATTCGAAAATTATAGTATTACAAATCTTATAAAATCTCTACAGAAATAGTCATTTTGTTTCAACACTTTTGGTGTCTTATCAAGTAATGGTCCTGAATTCAACACCATCGCTTGATAAGACACCAGAAGTGCTGAAACAAAATGGCTATTTTTGTAGTGATTTTATAACATTTTTATGTTGCAATTTTTGAATAAATGATTATATTGCTCTGCTCTGTATTGAGCACTCTTTTATGAATAGTAGTTGATGGTTATTGGAATTTATTCCGTATACACCTATCTTATACTAGGGTATATATATATATGTATATATATATATATATATATATATATATATATATTTGTAGCGATTTTATAACATATTTATGTTATAAATTTTTTAAATAAAGAATTATATATATATATATATATATATATATATATATATATATCCGATGCAATGAGAACGAAAATAATATATAAATTCTAACGTTCACATCATTAATTCAAAAGAGGGATCAATACCGATAGTAGAGCAATAATTATTGCTCCAGTCGGGGTGCAATTGAAATGCACCGAAACGTAGTTGCATCTTTGTAGGGAGTAAACTGTTTTTGTCTATATGAAAAAATTATTATGTATATATATATATATATATATATATATATATATATTACAATAAACGTGCAATCAATTTACAAATACATGAATTATTCACAAAAACTAATGCAAAGGTTAATGATTTAAATGGCGAGACATCCATCTCGCAAACAATTCAAATAGTACACAAAAAAACCTCCAGATCCGTTATGAATGAATTGATCCTTGTTTATATAAATTTCTGCCGTATTAGTTGTTATTTTTTACTACAAGCTTTCGTCTGTTCCTACGAACATCTTCAGGTATATAATAGATGTTGTTCTTGTTTTTTTCTCTTAGTAATAAGAGGACATCGAAAATATATGTGTATTGTATCCGAAATGCTATTGAAAATGAGATATTGGTTTTTGAACGCGCCAAAGCAACGCTGAGTTTGAAAATTTTTTAAAAAATGTTTGCGTTTATACCAAATATAGTAATGAACAAATTATTTTACTGGTATATTTTACTGTCAAAGTGGCATGAACTATATTGTTCAATAATTACAGTAATGTTGCACTTATTAACCAAAAGTCACACATGGATCAGTTATTTAAATTACAATAAACGTGCAATCAATTTACAAATACATTCACACAAAACTAATGCAAAGGTTAATGATTTAAATAGCGAGACATCCATCTCGCAAACAATTCAAATAGTACACAAAAACCTCCAGATCCGTTATGAATGAATTGATCCTTGTTTATATAAATTTCTGCCGTATTAGTTGTTATTTTTACTACCTGAAGATGTCTGTAGGAACAGACGAAAGCTTGTATTAGTTTTGTGTGAATAATTCATGTACCAGTAAAATAATTTGTTCATTACCATATTTGGTATAAACGCAAACATTTTTTAAAAATTTTCAAACTCAGCGTTGCTTTGGCGCGTTCAAAAACCAATATCTCATTTCAATAGCATTTCGGATACAATACAATATATATTTTCGATGTCCTCTTATTACTAAGAGAAAAAAACAAGAACAACATCTATTATATACCTGAAGATGTCTGTAGGAACAGACGAAAGCTTGTAGTAAAAAAATAACAACTAATACGGCAGAAATTTATATAAACAAGGATCAATTCATTCATAACGGATCTGGAGGTTTTTGTGTACTATTTGAATTGTTTGCGAGATGGATGTCTCGCCATTTAAATCATTAACCTTTGCATTAGTTTTGTGTGAATAATTCATGTATATATATATATATATATATATATATATATATATATATATATATATATATATATATATATGTTGAAAAAATATCTACATAGTTAATGTGTTTGAGAAACATTTAAATGTTCTGTACACATTAACTGGTCGATATTCGGCATATTTGTTCTAATGTTTAAATATCCTTGGATATCGAAAATATGGCCGTTGTGTGTAGATAAATTGGTCCTAATTGATGTTGTGTAGTCCAAACATTCGCCTCCTACGTGTCATCGTTAGGCTGCGAGTGAGAAAAGAAAATTAAGTGTGTTTTAATTAGTAGTTTACATTTTTAGTTTACTAAGTTTTATACAATACTTCCTCAATTATCAGGACTCCTTAGGACAGGGGTTAAAAATATGTTCGTTTATTTGAAAATTCCGGATAACAGAATAAGTAAATTATTGAAAAAGAACGAAGTAAAATGTCATTTTATATTATCAAACCACATTTTCAAACGCTTTGTTCAAGGTTCTGTCGAGTTTATTTTGTCTGTTTCCGGCCACCATGTTTTTGAATTAATTAATTTATTTTTACTTTTTATTTTTATTTTGTTCCGTCGCCAACTCCGGAAATTAGATTAAAGTCAATGTATTTGTAAGGGTCGCCTCAGGTTGAAAGCGCAAATAACTTGTCAAATCTATCTGTCTATATCTCTCAGGTGAGGTATTGTTATTACTTGCATTATTTATATTATTCGTGTCAAGAACAAATGACCCAGTTAGATCCAGTGACTAGACCCAAAGAGTTGTGAGTTCAATACCAGGCCACAGCACTGGTGAACCAAAAACTTGGAGAGTTGAGTTAAAGGGAAATAACTGAGATATCCTGAAGAGGTATGACACGTGGAACTAGAACAATCTGCATCGGTGTACGAAATAAATGGGTCAGTTCGAAATTCCAATCACCTGAAGAAGGCCAGAGCATACAACGGCCGAAACGTTGTGAATATGGCAATGAAGATGAGGATAACAGTCTGAATAATGTGAATAATGCAACTAATCATAATGCCTCATCTCAGAGATATAGAGGCTGAAATGTTGGGAATATGGCAATGAAGATGAGGATAACAGCCAGAATAATGTAAATAATGCAAATAATCATAATACCTCATCTCAGAGATATAGACAGATATATAGAGAGGCATAGACATAAAGTCCGGAGCGTACAACGGCCGCAACATTGTGAATATGGCAATGAAGATGAGGATAACAGTCCGAATAATGTAAATAATGCAATTAATCTTTGCTTCTATGTTTGACATTGAAATTTTGGACGTTGCGTATAGCATTCTAAATTCACAAGACGCTTGTCTGAGATGAAATATTTGAATGGGTTCTGTTCGGATAATTGAAAAACGTTCTGAAGACTTCGATTTATTTCTCTTTATTTGACATCCGGTTAATCGAAGTCCAGGAAATCGAGGTACGTATAATCGAAGTACGGGTAATCGTGGAAGTACTACGAAATTTCACTAACTGGGCCAAAGGTGGAGAACTAAAGCCAGCAGCTCTTGTAAGAAAATGTACCTAAGAGATAAGTGTCACCAAAATGGAAGCGATTTTTTTCCCGAAATGAAAACAACAAAAATATGAAGTAATTATCCGATGAAAGTTATTTTATTCGAAACCTTTGGGAAAATATTTTGGTCAGTCAAGCCACCTTCGTTACATTTTGAACACTTGAAATTGAGGTTGGTGCTACAATTTTTTTTTTATAGATTTATAAAGAAAAATCCCTGTAGATATTAATTCAGTAAAATATTTCGAAGATATAATTCTACAAAGTTTCATAGTATAAAAAATATATTCCTAACTTATTAGTTATATCATTTTAAAAATGATTATTTTGAAACTTAAAAGAAACCAGTTTCGCTATTTTAGTAGTATTGGTCTGCCGTATTTAATTACATTTGCGGCAGATTTTTTGTAAGTTGGATGTCGTGGGTCTAACAGCTTCTGTTTTATCTATGAACTTGTTGACAGGAAGAATATATATCGCTGTGTTCAAATGTGTTTTTCAATATATTTTAAGCATAGCTTAATAAAGTTCGTTAATTAATTCTAAAAGTTCGTTAATTAACCCTTAATTGCGCATACACCCATATCACGTTGAATCAGCGGGTCTCATACAATCACCGAAGTTAAGCATCATTGAGCTTGGTCAGTATCTAGATTGGTGACCGCTTAGGATTATTAGGTGTTGCAAGTTTAGACGTGCGGATGGTGTAATGGATAATGACTAGGAATTTCAAATCGGAGAGCTGAGTTCCAATTTTGTTCGGGTTGTTGTATTCACTTACATGCCATCGGGATTTCAACTCTTCTCTCCTCAATTGTGGATGAATTATGAAAACTTTTATCAATAAAAATCATGATTATCTCCAAAGAATTCTTACATTCGAAAAATATTTTCTGGCTTTAAATGACCTGCAGCAGGTTGTTAAGCCGTAAAAAAAAAACAAATCAATAATTCTTACGTTTATTAATTTTATTTTTTTTTTAATCTACAGTAGATATTTGATTTTTAAGAGATTTTCTATTTTTTCTTTTTCTGTCATCATTTTTCAATTAAATGATAACTTGATCGTAAGAACGTTTGAACAATGGCTTTAAATTATTATTATTTATCTTTGTTATTTTCTACATTAGCTGTATAATATTATCCTTCAAATAAAGCTAAAATCTTACTAAAAAAGAGAATTGAAATGCCTTTTGAAGGTCTTTTTTCGCTCACATTTTGGCATTAACTCATAGTTGAATAGGTTAGAATTAAAAGTCGTTTCACTGATTTTGTTTTGCGTCGATATGGTTGACGCGACTCACACATAGATTTATTTATCCAGAAGCCCCCCCCCTCCTTTCAAAGAGGCAGTAGTTGGTAGTAGATAAAGAGTTAGTGCAAAGAAGTAAAAAGGGAAATGACTAACCCGATCAAAGGGAAAAAAAGAAATTTTCAAAAATGGAGGAAAGATAACAGTGATAGAAAGGAAAGAAAGAAAAGGGAAAAAATGATTGAAAAGTTCTTCCTTTTATTATATATATATATATATATATATATATATATATATATATATATACACACACATATATATATATATATATATATATATATATATATATATATATATATATATATATATATATATATATATATTTTTCTTTTTCCCACCTGTTATAGTTTTTAAGGAAAAGCCGACTTGAAGATAAAAATCAGTCTTGTCCTCGAACAAGTAGATGTTATTTTACATGCACTGAGAAAATGATTTGCTAACTTGAACTGCGTTTACCCGACTAGGTTGGGCCGGCGTCACATTTTAAACTAATTATGGTTCTAACCCGCGACTTGAAAGAGGGAAGAAGAAAGGGCGGGAAGCGAAACTCATCCCTCTGATTTTATTTTTGATTTTTTTTTTTATTTCTTTCTTCTTTTGGTTAACTTCTTTTCTTTTCGTTTTTTTTTTTTTTTTTCGGAGTTGGTTGGGGGGTGGCTTTGAATTTCTTAACATTTGTGATGCTCAGGAATTTTCCTTACTTTTTTTATTCCTCAATTTCCAATAAATATTTATGAATATATTCTTTTGCGATAAATAAACACCTAAAATATTTTTACGAATAGTGGGGTTACTTGCTTATTTGAATCGATTTTTATTTATTTGTTTATTCATTGTTTTTTAAAACTTTTCTATTCCCAATTTTCTAACTTTGTCGGATTAATACTTTAGTCTTATAATATATTTGCATCTTTCAATATATCTTCATCTTTGAATATATCCTTCCTCTTTGAATATGTCCTTCTTTTTTCAATATATCTTCATCATTCAATATATCCTTTCTCTTTCAATATATCCTTCATCTTTCAATATATCCTTCCTCTTTCAATATATCATTCATACCTTTCTTTACTTTCTAATATTCGGTGGTAAAATCATAAGAAAGATGAAATTTCCATAAGAAACAAAAAAAAAAGAGTACTGAACCTGTATGCAACATTGGTCGTCTTCCTATAGGGCAATGGATGCTGGACAATTTCCACACAGATGAAGAAGAGATTTGAAGCAACAGAAATGTGATTCTGCAGAAGGATGCTGAAAATGCCATGGACGGAGCATGTGAACAATGGGGAAGTTTTAAGAAAAATGGAAACAAAAAAGACATTTATTCTTAGAATCAAAAGAGTTTAAATTCCTAGGACATAATGAGGAAAAAAAGCTTGAAAGAATTGACACTCACAGGGTATAATAAAAGGCAGAGGGAAACAGTGAGAAATCTCCCTAACGAGTAACAGGATGTGAAAGGTGTAGTTTAGGGATCAAATATTTATTAGAGCTACAAAGGATAGGGCATTGTGCGGTGATATGATCGCATATGTCCTGAAGCAGCATAACACATAAAAAGACGAAGGATTTTCCAACTATTTCATTGACATTGTTTTCAAAACAACACTTCAGCCGACCCATTCTTCGGCGTTTCTTCTTTGTGTGAACTTCCGTGATGAAATATTCTCATTATTCTAGATATTTTTCCGATTATTGCTTTCACTTTTACCGTTTTTAACACAACATTTAAGCCGATAAACACTTCGGCCTTTCCATATTTTCAAAATGTTCGCCTATACAGGGTGCGATGGGTAAATTGTCACCATTTTATATTTTTAATGTCGCACGTGCGCGTTGTTTGTTTTTGATTGGTCAGTATAATAGGGTCAGTTGGGCACCGTCTGTGAGAAACGCAATTTAAACGTCATGTTGTACTGCTTGGCATTCGCGCCGGAAGCTCCAATACGATCATTTCAGGGTGTTTGGGTGCCAATCTGAGGACAGTGCAAAGAATTAAGAAAGAGTTGGATGAGTCTAATGGTAATTACGAAAGTGTTTGGAGTGATCACGAGTGATGGAAAGTTATGCCTCCATTCATTTTCCCACTTGGACTCAACACGGAGGTCTGCATCAAGTGCCTTGAGAAGGTAGTGCTGCCCTAGGTCAAGTGGGTGGCTGTTGGAAACCCTACATCTAGCAACAGGACTCTGCACCATGTCACAGAAGCAGAAGAACGCAGTCATGGCTGCCAGACAATTTCTGAGGACACATCACTACTTACATCTGGCCACCTAACTCTGCAGGCTGCAAACTCCTTGATTATTATGTATGGAGCACAGTTGAGCCAGGAGCTAACAAAACTCATTGTAACACTAAAGATGAAATAAACAAGGAGACCGTTCAGAAGAGTTGCAGGAGATTCCGAAGGCGTATGGAGACCGTGATTGAAGCCAATGGCGATTTTATTGAATAAATTTACTCTTTAGTATTTCAAGATATTTTTGTGTAATTTTCGTGAATATATGTTTTCATTTTTTACGTAATTTAGGCGACAGTTTGTCGATCGCACTCTATATTCTATACATATAATATATACATATAAATGTCATTGAAAAATGGTGAAAAATATACTTATTGAAACTTACGTTAAACTAAAACAAAAGTTTGAAAATAAATTGCTGTAATGACTTTAGAATTTTAGATAATATAGAAATCGCCCGGTTCGCACAAGTTCCCTGTCTTTTGGACAGGAATCGTAGGTTATCACTTGCTTCTAGTTTAGGAGTGACTTTCCGGTTCCTTCTACAGTCTTATCATTCTCTTTCCCTTCCAGTAACTCCTTGCGTCTTAGTGGCATTATCACCTTGCTTGGGGTGAATTGATTAAAATAAAAAGATTATGCAATAAGTAGAAATACTCTGTTAAAAAAAAAAAAAAAAAAAAAAAACTACCATTGAAAATAAATAATACGAGCGGGTGCTGAAAAGTTTTGATTTGTTTTCCCAAATTCAGACCAGAAAAAAAAAATGTCCTTTCTATTAAAGGACCATTTTTCTTTCTATTCTTTCTTGGTTGTCAGAGATAATTTTTTGTTGCGGAACACAATACGTAATGGCGAAAGTCAGAGAAACAAAATACTGTCTTTGAAATTCAGTTGAAAAAAAACAAAAAAAAACGTTACACATTTTTGTTCTAACCCAATTTTCTTCTACGTGCCGTGTCCATTCAGGACGTTGATGATAATGGCTCTCCACAACTTCCTGTTCTTTGTAGCGCTTAACAAATTTTGTCTGTTATCTCTCCTAAACCTTGCTCCTTCATCCATTTATTCAATCTCGTTCTTCTTTTATATGCAATGTCTCTTCAGGATTTTGGCGATTATGGCCCTCCTCTATTTCCTGTCCTTTTTAACTCTTAATAAATTTTATTTTATTTTTATCTCTCCTAAACCTTGCTCCTTCATCTATTTACTTAAGCTCCTTCTTTTATGTGTCGTGTCCTTCAGGACATTGGCGATTATGGTCCTCCACAATTTCTTTTTTCTTTTTAACTATTTGCCCATAGCTGGGACCCTAACAGGTGCTACCACCCCAAGTCAGGTTGGACCTGGAAACACCAGCAGTTAAGAGGTGGTTCCACGCTCGTTTTTGTCTCCATTTTCTCTAAAACTTCGTCGTTGCTATTCTCAGCATGCTTCTGTAGAATCACAGTTTTGTTGCTTCAAGTCTCTTCTTCATCTGTGAGGAGATTTTCCAGCCATATAGGAGGACTGATATTACGTAACAGCTCCGTATTCTATTCTTTATTTCTAAACTTTATTTTAAAGACAGTTGCTTAACTTTTATTTTATCTTATTTACTAATGTTCACCCGATAAAAGGCCCAAGAGCCACTCAAGGCAGAGGGTTACTGTGTGGACTTATATTAGCGTAGAAAAGGGCAAGGAGTATATAGTTGAAATAGAGTTTAGAAGGGCCGTAAACCCAATCCTAAACAGGAAATACAGGATAAACCTCTACTCCTGTTGGAAAGACTAGAGTGGAGTGTGAAGCGGACGGCAGGCGAATCTATCTACTCCTATTGTTGGAGGAGAGAAAAACAAATAAGATAAATACTTAGTGAATGAAATGTCAGAGTTCAGGTGCAGACGTTAATGTTTTTTTTCAATGTCGACATCAGGCTGGAAGTTACTGAGAATTAGTCTTTGTTTAACGGATTCAGGAATTTTCATTCTGTTTCTGTCTTTGGAAGGAAAAAAGATTGTAAATTACTATTGAATATTGAGTTATAAAAGCATTCTAATGCCTCCTGGCCGATTCCTCAGACCCCACCTTTCCCTAACCGCTCCCCTTTATCCTTAATGCTTCCTTGAATCTTACCAACCCCCTAAGG